CAAGAGTTTCAATAAACACAAATTAGCAGTTTATTTCTCAGAATAAGCTTGGATTCAGAGATGATACTCATCTGTAATAATACAAGATGAACAGTTAGTATCAAGTAGAACTCATGCCAGATTATGAAGTCCAACAGCATTTCCCCAAAAGGTTTCCAGTGCTGTGAATACACCAAAAAACCCACAAAGATAAAGCATTACTCGCCTTTTTAAAAAATTTACCAGATAAGAGGCCGGGTCTTGTTCAGAGCATAACAAAATTAATACATAACCTGAAACCTGTGAAGTTAAAAGATGCAGAAGTCCACTCTAGTGTCAAACAGTGAGTTTAATTTCAATTAGCTGCAAAACTGTCAACACTGGGCCATAAAGCCTTCACCCTGCTGCAAGAAAATGAAGTGAATGTCTACCAATCTAAGTCTTCAATAGGTTTTGTTACAGGACCCTGCTTTATCAGTCTCTACCACAGCAGTAGCTACATTTGTCCCTCAAGAAACATACAAATTAGCTCAGTAAGTGCTTATGATGTTAATCAAATAGGTGAATTCAATAAAAAGTTTCCCTGCAAAATGTATCCCTTTCACAAACAGAGCATAAAAGATTAGTTTCTTTTGCCAGAAAAAGAAATCAGGAGATTGTGTCCAAACTATGATGGTGCTAATTTGGAAAGGAAGTTACAGTCAGAACATTGATACACATGGTAGAAGGAGACATTTCTGAAAACATTAAGCCTTATGCCTAATAGGTTAAAGCTGGCACAAACGCAAAGCTACCTAAGTCTCTTTGGAGAAGGCATCATGACAGTGAAGACATTAGCCTTTGTCAAATCAGACTAAGAATTTTTTTGTTTTGTTTTTTTAAGTACAACACAATGTCACCTGATCACCTAAATATCTTTTGGATGTATTCAAGGTGGAGAAATTAAGTCCTACATGCTCATAACATTCTTGTCTCTCCAAGTTCCAAATAGCAGAGCTCATCCCAGAGAAGTGACTTACTCAAAATTCTGTCTACTACTGAACACTTCCCCTGTCAGGAACATCAGCATTTGCATTACCTGTTTTAGTAGCAACAGTTGTGGCAAACTACTTTGTTTCCCAGAAACTCAGTGCAGCGCTTTGCCCAAGTTAGAAGAACTGAACTGTTGTCCTCTCACGAATTAGACCATTGTATAGAAACTCACCAGTGGGTTGTGTCCCTTCAGCTCCTGAACAGAGCAGCCAGGCAAAGCTTTGGCAGGGAACTACAGAAATCCTGCTCAGAACCTAAGATGGGGAGCAGATGAAAACTCAGCAACTCTTGAGTTGCTCTGCTGCTTCTTTAGTGAGAAGGATGCTTCAGAAAGGCCTCCTTTGTTCCGTGCTTCTCCTCCCCCCAGTTGCACCTACCCTTTGGTCTAACAGAAGCTGTATGACTGTCACTGAAGGCAGCAGTTGTAAGAAGCAAGATGACTCCAGGAAAATTGATTTGGAGGTGAAGGCACCAGAAAAAAATGACTGAATAGGACACATGCGAAAAGTCATGGTTGGACCTTGCAGCAAGAGAAGGACACTGACATTAATTTGTCATTTATACTTGGAAGAGTTGATCTCATGCAGACAGCTTAAGACCAAAAATGCCAGACCAAGTACGTCATCTTAGAGATTAATTTCAAAATATTCCTAAAGTTGCAATCTATAGACACCACCCCCTAACTAGTCATGGCTTTTAGACTATTCAGAATTACTTTCTAAAAATTTCTGGAAAGACTTGGGAAGGTAGAATTATCAGAAAGATCTTCTGGGGTTCTTCAAATGTCAGTCATCACGGATGTGTGCTGCTCCAGACACTGACCTAGACATCTAATGAGATTCATTTTTACAGAGGAATACCAAGGCTTGTTTGACCCTAAGTCTCCAAAAACTCTAATACAAAAATTGTACTTCCCATCCAGACACAGAAAGCAATCTGGAAAACTGAAAAGTATTATACTATGAAGTGGCACCTGGAAAAGAATAAACATGAGTTTCTTTCCCACACATTTCCTGATCAAAGGGGGCAATGGGAACAGAAAGAGTTCAGAGCTATAAATGGAATTGTGAATTCTACAAGCATCCTTTTAATTTTATTTTTTTTTTAAAGAAGATTCCTGAGAGTTTCTAAGATGTCTTGTAAATCTTCATGAAATGTTCTGAAGACAAATGAATGTTCAGGCAGTCTAGTTTCTTTTATGCACAAAGAGACCTCTTAACAATGAAATAACTATGCCTTACTCACTACTGCAGGTTTGGGTAGGGTTTTTTCCCTTTGAAGTTGTTTTATATTCCACTATGGGCCTACCCCAACAAATGAACCAGACAAAACCTTTTATTATTATACAGCAAGACATTCAGGCCATTTCTTACTGCACCCTGAAGACAGGCAAGCTGTTAGTGCAACAAGAGACATGCATAGTATTTCAAGCATTTCTGCTTCGATTTTATGAGGCTTTAGGGACTAAGGTCTAAATAATGGGATCAGCAATATCTGAACATTGATGAATGCTAAGGGGAACAACTATAACCACTCTATTACTCAATTAACCATTCCTTTTTTTTTTTTTCATCTTGCACATATGATTCCTTTTGCTTCCCTTAGCTTCCTATCACAAGCTCCTCCTTCTATTTTGTGATGTGACAAAGCTGAGGTGTAAGTCCTACTTCGAATAGGTATCCTGTTTGATGTAGTCTTTGATTAGGGAAGAAAAGTTTGCACAAAAGTGCAATTTATCAACTCTCCTTTGCATAGCATTAGACCCAATTTTTACCATCAATTCCTTCATTGAAAAGTGTGTTCCTTATGTCAGGATAACATTTTTTACTAGATGTGGGATAATCAGCATTACTGCCCAATAAGCTTTTATGAGCCAGCTGTGTCCCTGATGAGGATATTGACCCTGGAACATACTACTTCCAAAAACTTAAGCTGCCTTGGAAAAAGTTGCAAGCCTCCATTGAATCAGTCCAAAACAAAACCCAGTCTAAATGTCAGATTCAGACCGATTCCCAGACTGACCAACTTTCCCCACCCATTTTCAATAAAGGCAAGCTTGAAGCTAGAAAGCATTAAACTGGATCCTACTTTCAACTCAGCAAATTGTAATAACCCAGATCTCATACTCCCCAGCTCTACAGCTTACCCTAGCTATAAGTCTTCAGTAGCCACCTCTTTCATGAGGCTAAAGAACTCCCTAAATCTTAAACTGAGACTAAGAAAGCCAGTTAGGTTAATATGCTAACTACAAAGAGCAGTAACATAAACACTAGAGTGATTATTTTTTCACTAGATTCCAGAAAACCTGTGTTGCTTTGAGGTTTGTTAAGTGTTCAGACAGAAGAAAACTGATCTGGATAGCCTGTATTGTTGTTACAGAGCTACAAGTGCTTTAGAATTTTTATTTTTTTTTGAAACCTCTCTCAGCATTATTCCAATTACATACTCCAATCCCCTGCAAAGGGGGCAAATAAAGACAGGCAATAAAAATTCAGTGTGAATCCTATGAAAGTATCTTAGAAGAAAAATACCACAATAGACTGGAATCACTGACAAGTCAAATTCTAAGCTATAATTTTTGATATCTTGGCAGTTAAAGTTACAATAGCTGTCCACACCATTCCTTAGATGTTTACACTTCTAAGTAACTTAGCTGTAAGTCAGATGTTTCTCCACTGCTTTAGAGCCAGAAAAAAAAAAAAAAAAAAAAAAAAAATGTACTCTCAATTGACTTTCTGTTACAGGAACAACTTTTTCAAATCTAAAAATGGAAGACAAAAATCAAGCGGTTCAACAGATTATCTAACTGCAACTGAAATGCCTCTTTAGAAGTCCAAAATTGCAGAGCTGCAATTGCTAGTTCATCTGTACCACATCAATTAAGGTACACATGAACCTACTGGAAAAGAAATTTTCCTGAAGTTGTGTTGAAGATACCTGTCAAAATGACAAACTTCAGATGTTTTCCTCAAAAGTGAAACTATACTAATGGTAACAATTGTTGTGTCTACCTTCTATTTATTGCATAGGACTAATGCAAGCTTTAATAAACAAGCATTTAAGGGAAAACTAGAGTAATGCATGTAGGTTTCTCAGATTTCTGTTTACTTGTTTTAAATGATTGCTTCCATCCTTAAACCAGTTTAATATATACTTTTTACTGATTAATTTAATATATACATTTATCAGAAGACCAAAGATTATGACCACCTCTAGTACAGTTTGATCAACTACTACAGGCAGAAACAACAAGATGTAGTTTCAGGTTCAAGACTATTCTGAATAGTTAAATTTTGGTTCTCTAAACCAGCTCAAACCTTACTAAAAATTTGGATACTATCAGGCTTAAAATATTGTTAGAAAAACCTACTGAAGAGCTAAGTTGCTCTTTGTAAAAATCACGTAATCTTGAAAGCACTGAGCCTCTTCTCTTCAGGCAACTAGATTTTCAGCCTCCGTATCCCATTTCGAAGGGTTTAAAGAGTCATATTTTTTAAAACCTAAGACAACCCACTGAGTCCAAATTAGACTTATTTCTGTAGAAAGTACATGGAAGCAACAGCCACTAGTTATAGGTTCATGCACGCCACTCCAGTGGAAGTTTTAACTTTAACACTTGTGATGCTAAAACTTGTGTTATCACACTAACCCATTCTGAACAAGAGATGTGTTTATTCCACAGCATGTAAGCCTGTAGTATTTTTCTCCCCAATGATAACAGCCTAGACTAACTAATGCAGTTTAAATCCTCACCTCCATTTTTTTCTGCTCCTGAAACAAATGAGATTAGCAATCCTAGCAATTAGAGATTAGTTCCAGATTTTCTGTGCAAACAAAGTAGCAATGGCACCTTTCACATGCATATAACTATACATATGTGGGATTTTTCCTATATAGACTGTCCTAAACTCACAGTCACAGTGCTGAACTCTTGGAAGGCATACATTTTACTCCCATCACCAAAGCTCCCTATTATATTAGCTACTTACAGACGAAATGGGCAGGGTGAACCCCACTGTGTAGAGGACAGTGGATGTGATGGTACTGTCATGGAACGGATACTTGATGCTGTCATCATTACAGAAAAAGCCTCTCTGATACGGTTTTATTTTGGCCAAGTTTAGAACACCAAGGGGTAAGCCAGCTGTTGGGGGAAGGAAAAAAAAACAAAAAACAAAAACAAGAAATACATGTGGTTAAATCAAAAAAAAAAAAAGTAACTTGTAAACATGCATGGAGGAAGCTACCAAACATGCAAAACTCAAGTTTCCTAAGCATCATGCAATGCACACACTTACCAAATCCTGTTTATATAAATTTACCTCCTCTAGAAGTCTACTTCAGAAGGACTCTGAGGTTGCCCACCAGATACAGAAGTTAAGAAAGTATAGAGTTCAAAGTCCTTTCATCAGGAAGGTGAGCTGCCACACACTGAACCAAGATTATGCTTAAGAAAAGCATTTGCCACTCACATGACTGAATAGTTATTGAGGGCAGGCTGCCTTTTGTGCCCCTCCTTTGCCACCACCCCACGACATTGGCTTGTATCTGAATTACCAGCCCTGTTCCATACACTATAATCTGGTTAGTGTTTACATAGAACAAGATAAAAATGCATACAGATTTTGTCAGTTTGGGAGTTAAAGATTTCATGCAAGTAGTTTTCATGCAGGCAAGGGGAACAAGGAACTGCAGAGACAACAGAAAATACAGACACTCTGAATGGGTGGACTGCATCTCAAGGTAATGAGATTTATACTTTAAGAGCTGCATTTACACAGCTTTTGTACACTTTGGAAGATTTCCACATGAAAATAAGTTACTAACAAGGAAACTTGGGTACAAATGATAGCTCTCTGAACTGACTCTGTATGACACATTACCTATTCCCTCTCTTACAAGTTCACTTCCACTACACTGGCAGTCATGCCAAAGAAGCCATCAAGACCTCTGAGGGTTACATTCAGATCTGTAACTTATTTCTGACAGCTAAAAATCAGCTAAGGAATAGACATTCACAGGAACAATGACCTCAGGGAACCCAGGTTTGTCATTTTACACTTTTTTCTCATCCCCACCTTTCCTTTGGTCCCCTGAGTAAGTAATAGATCAACAGTGATTAAATTAGGCATTGCTATAAGAATTGCAAAAATTATGAACAAAAAAAAAAACCCTGAAGGTTTTTGTTTAAAACATGGTAAAAAAAGGCAAACTAAACTTTGTATTTTCCCCAACATCCATGTAATATGCAATTCTGCATATAGACACTCTATATGCAAATTAGATGGTAAGTGCAATTACTGAAGTAGAAAAGACTACCCATGATATAAGTGCAATTACTGAAGTAGAAAAGACTACCCATGATATAAACAAACTGCTGTACTGACAACAAAAGACATTTCTAAGTTCAAGTTATGAGAGATTGCTATGATTTCTGGTGACACTTCTTAAGACGACTACCAGATAAGTCACTTAAAGGGGTTTTAAATAAGCTTATTACTATATACTTCATTTGAAGGAAAGGCATCAGGAGTGAAACAGCAGGAACAGAGTGATAAATCCTGGCCCCTTCTTCAGGTTGCTAAGTCGCAGTGCAAAGTGCAAAAGCTCGTGAGGTGCATTTTGAAACCGTGTATGTGCTTGGTAATACCCTACCTCCCAACTCCTGTTCTAAGAAAGTCACTGTAATCACAGAAGGCAGGAATTTAAAGCCTCTTATGGAGCAGAGAGGAATTTTTTTCCACAAAACATCTGAAATCCTAAGGACTATCCACACTTAGCCTTAACAACTGGGGATGCTGATGCAGGAAAGCACTTCAGCAAATGCTTACCATCCTGTACAGCAAAACTAAACAGAAATGCAAATGCCACGATGCCTGTTCAACTTTAAGCAGTTTTTCATGAAGTAGGATGACATACCTTCAAATCAACTGCATCTCAAAAGCCTCTCCCCCTCCTCTGCTTTAATGATTGAGAAGAGAGCTAGAGCTTGACAGAATGCAGATGGCAGAAGTAGCTTAAACAGAATTGCAGCCCTTCAAAGGGGGCCACACTGAAGAACTCAGAAAGTTAACTCGGATGAAAGGACATTGCTGTATGTTCACGTCTGGAGCCAATTTTCAGCTCCACTCAAGGGCCATGGCAAGATTCCACTAACATAAGTCAAAGCCCATGTTTCCTGTCTTTATCTCTCCTATTGCATACCCAGCGTCAGGATGATGGAGTGGCAAAGCCATTACCTATTTGATACAATCCTATCTTCTCAAACAGGTCACCAGATTTTCACATGTGTAAATACCACATCCTCATGGCTAATTTAAACAGCAGCTTGTGTTTTGCAGAAATTGACTGCCTAACAGACATAAATATCTTGTTTTCCCAGAAAAGCTGCTACAACTCAACACCAAGAATTTTTCATTCAATTACATTTTCAGCCTTCCAGCTCAATCTTTTTTAGCCAATATTGCTCAGTTTTTACAATAAGATTTTGAGATGGTTTGCTTTGGTTTTGTTTCCGGGTTTAACTTCATTAGGACAGACTACTTTATTTTTACCAGCTGCTGAAATACGTTTAAGCAGCTCACTTGCAAACATGACAGAGTTCTGAGCTCAAAAGTTCCAATTTTTTTTTTTGCCACCAAAGTACACACATTTACAGTCAGGTGGGTTTTTTTCCACAAAAGGTTTCTTTAGGAACTGGAATAGAGCTATTACATGAGTGTACATGTAAAAGAGAAAGTATCCTAAGTTTGACAATCAGTGTTTTAAGCCTGCCAGCAAAACAACCAACCAGTTTGAATATGAAGGGGGTTTTTTGTTGTGTAATTGCAGCAGGAGAGAATTACTCACTCTGTAACCTAATTAAGACAGAAGCTTGAGCCCTTTTTTTTAATTAGGGAGAATTCCTGACAGTAAGTGTTCATGAAACAAAGAGGAAAGGAAATCAAGATTTAATTTAAGCTTTCTTTTCTTCCCATTAGTCTTTATGTGAAATTGTGTATAAAAACTAGGCTGTGAGAACTTTTACATAACCAGCAGTTACCAAAATTTTTTGGCTCCCTATATATTTAAATATCTCTTTGTAACTTTTTTCCTTTCTACATCTGTTTCACTGAAAGAAAAGGATGCACCTTTTAGTTAAATCAGGCTACTTTGACTACATTATGCAGTGCTTAGAAAGTAGTTTAAATGTGTGTAATCTAGAGTCAGAATTAGGAAACGTTTTTACTTTAAACCACGAGATTCTGGGAAGGGGGGTGGGGGGTGGCAGGGAAGGAGTAAAAGCAGCAAATAAAGGGGCCAGATAAGGACAGCTTCACCAAAGTGACTGCAAAATTCATTTGTATAGTCCATAGTAAAAGAAGACAAGAAATTGGAAGTTGGTTACACATCTTACACTAACTGCCTATTTTCATTTTTTTCTTTACTGTTAGAATTCCTACTGCAATCTAAATGATACACTGCTTTCCAACAGTGGAGTAGCAGACTTTGTGAAATGGTGCTTAGCTGAGTATTAACCTACTCAAAACAAGTCACAGCATTTTTACTTTTGCTCATTTTTCAGGGAGAGAAGACAACACTTAGTACATGCAGGCAAACAGTCCTCAAGTTTTCACTATAAGAGAAAAAAAACACTAAAATACATAACAGGCCAGTATTGCCATCACAGATGCAAAGCATCTCTATGACCTCTAAGCAAGCTGACTGTACACGGAACTTCTGAGGAATGCATGTGTGTTCAGTTTCATTAGCTTCTACGAACTGGAGGAAAGGGTGACCACGATTTATTGACTGATTATAAGGCTAAAAGGCAATCTTGCAGGTCAATTCTCATGCCTTGCCCTCTTCACAATGTACATCCTTTTTTTTTTTATCTAGCCAGTGCCAGCAGTAACCTCTGAGGGTGCTCTTCTGATCCAGGCAACTTTACACCTTAAGGGATCTTAATGGCTCAGTTGTTACTTTATATCCTATAAACCACAACCTTCAGCTGTAAAAAAAAAAAAAAAAAAAAAAAAACAAAAAAACTGTTCCTTGAAGTTCCCCATGCTTCAGGCTCAGATTTGGAGTTTCTGTTTTCTGTTAAAATTTGTCTAGTTGATCTTGTCAAGGACTAGTGACCAAAAGGTTCTGGGCTGTTTTTGCTTGGTAGTAGCAAGAAACAAGACAACAGTCCTCTGATCTGGTTTCTCTCCTCTTTAATTATGCAGAGAAAACAACCTGATCACTCAAGTGCTCTGGAACTGGCCCATCCAAGACTATAAAAGACTGGGTGGCTCTTCTGTAATGTTCATGCAAACAGACTGGCTAACCCTGAAAGCTACACCAGTAGTGACAAAGTTGAACAGGAAAAGAAACTGCAGAGATCTGAAGCCTGTAAAGGCCATGAAAGAAAGGTGAAAAAGCTTCATACACATGGACAAGAATGAAAGCGCACAGGATGGCGAGGGAGAGCGGCAGACTGATACTTGAATTACTGAGCAGGGACTGCAGGGAAGAAACAGTTTCAAGTTTTTGGCTAGAACTGTAAGAACAGGGTAACACACATTTGTACAGAGTAATGCTGAGCTAGCTGAAATAGTTACATGGGGCTATGATGAGTTCACAAGGAGTTTCCAACTCTAATTTGTAGTTTCAAGCCAGTTGTTGTGTAGCTTCCATTGAAAACCTACAGATAATTCAAGGTAATATCAATAGCCTACAGGGAACTCCTATTTAATCACATCTGGCTGGACAACATGGCATGACACAAAAGCCTGTAAGGAAGGAAAGGAAGTCCAGGGTGGGAGACCAGAGAGGAAGTTACTGTGAGAATGGTTCTCCACCCACAGAAAGGGAATGTCAAGAAAAAACAATACCAAAGGGAAGGGGGAGGCAAAGTCTTCCTTTGGCAAAAAAAAAAAAAAAAGAAGAGACTTGTTTACTAAAAAAAAAAAAGTTGATTTGTTATACTTTAATATTGTTTTTTAGGATGAAAACAAAAAAGGTCATTAAAGTTCCACAATTTATCCTACAAATGGAAGTGCTAGATACCAAATGATGAAGATATGATCTTTTTACAATGTGTGGAACACGGCACTCTTAATCTGTTTTGTGGCAGTTGTCATACCTGTAACTTTAGAGTTAGGTGCTTAAGTTCAGAGATATAAGTAGT